TAACTGGTGGTTCAAAAATATGGTGGTAAATACCAGAAAAATAGCCAAAAGCATGAAAAGTGGTTGCATAACAGGACTGGGAACCCCTATATTGACAGTAAAATTCTTGAATACTAATAAATCACAGAAAATGTATTACTTTGAACTTTCTTTAAATACTGTTTTAAAGATTTACCTTTCAAAGAAACCAAAGTATAGGCTATTAGGAGTTGATATATTCCCCACTTTTGATCTTATTAACAAAACATGATTAAATCTAACAGGTGGGGACTATAATAAAATTACACAAAATGACACATACAAGTTAGAAATTTTTTAGGCTGAGTCAGCCCAGTCAGGGCAGAGTCACATGTTCTTGAGAGCATTTGCTTAACAGTCTTTTGCTTGTAGGAAGAGTGTCTTAGAGGCAAAGTCATGGGTATTCTGGGCGTCCCAGGTGGCATGAGTGGTAAAGAACCCACCTGCCAATGCAGAAGATGTAAGAAACATGGGTTAAATCCCTGGGTCAGGAAGATTGCCTGGGGAAGGAAATGGCAACCCAGTCCAGTATTCTTGCCAGGGAAATTCCATGGACAGAGGAGGCTGGTGGGCTACAGTCTATGGGGTCATGAAGAGCTGGACATGACTGAAGCAATTGAGCATGCAGGCACATGTGGGTATTCTGGGGTCCACCCCCCTCCAGATGGACCTGGTGCCAGTTATCTGAACTGCCTTATTTACAGACATAGAACCTGCCCATTATCTTTACCCCCTTCCTCCAGCCTCTCCTCCTGATTCATCCTACACAAGCTATTTCCAAAGGGTGGGTCTGATGGAGTCACCCTTCTCTAAATCCTTTGGTGGTCCCACCCATCCAGCCAGTCACCAGCCTCCTCACCCACTGTGTACACTTATCAGAAACTACTCACCACCCCCTCAACTTTCCATGTGTTTTCATGCCTCCCTACCTCATGGAAGCTCTACCCCTCTCTGCAGTGTTTTGCTCTGTCTTTCCTGGCAAAGACTCACTCCTTGAAAACACCAACTTGAAAATCATCATCCAGTTTCAACTCAACAGAGCAAAATACTTGCTCATTATTCTATATTCACTACTTTTATACCCTGTGTTGGGCTTCCTTGGTACTTCAGCTGGTAAAGAATCCATCTGAAATGCAAGAGACCCCACTTCAATTCTTGGGTCAGGAAGATCCCCTGGAGAAGGGATAGGCTACCCACTTCACTGGTGGCTTAGATGGTAAAGAATCCACCTGCAATGAGGAAGACTTGGGTTCGATCCCTGGGTTGGGAAGATCTCCTGGAGGAGGGCATGGTAACCCACTCCAGTATTCTTGCCTGGAGAATCCCCATGGACAGAGGAGCCTGGAGGGCTGCAGTCCATGGGGTCACAAAGAGTAGGACACGACTGAGCGACTAAGCATAGACACACATACCTTGTGTTGCAATTGTTCACTTCAATATCTGTCTCCCCTACTAGACTAGGAGTTCCAAAGAGCAGGGATCAGGGTTAATCATCTTTGTACCCTCAGTACCAAGCAAAGTGCCAGACACACAGCTAGCCCTCAGGGGGAGTTTGTAGAACATATCAGTAGGAAGTGAATTAATTTCACATTAATCTGGGCCTTGTTTACACATTATGTTTGAATGTCTATATAATGCCAGTGTGAGAAACTATGATTTACAATTCCCCAATTTACATTGGCTAACATCTAAGTTCCCAGGGCATGAGGTCTAAATATCCCCTCAAACACTGGAACCATATCAATAGTCTTCTCTCCTTAGAGATAAGAGAGAAGAAAGAATATAACACAATGATGAAGCTAGTACATGTATCACTTGGAGCCAGTCATTTCTTAATACCCTTCTCCTCCATACAACAAAATTATTTTCTGTCATAAGCATTATTTTCTTGAAGTGCTCTAATTAGCAATTTAAAATGAATAAACCTTACTTTTAATTTTCCTGCTAGGATTCAAATTCAGTAAAATATCTCATGAATGAACTAGAAGGTGCACTTGCCAAACAAAAGATTACACCTTGCAATCCATTTATGCTCAGTTTTCTCTTTAAAATATTAAACACAAACAAAAACTCCAAACAGTCACAAAGTGTGACAGAATTGAAGTAACTCAGGTTCCCTTCTTTCATCTTTATGGTCACATGTTGCCATGGTTAATTTCTAACCTACTGGGTTTTTGGTTTTGTTTTTTTATTAAAGAAAAAAATTGATTGATTTACAATGTAAATAGTTGATTTACAATGTTGTGTGAGTTTTGGGTGTATAGCAAAGTGATTCAGGGGTGTGTGTGTGCGTGTGTGTGTGTGTGTGTGTGTATACACATATACATAAATATATATATATATATATATTTAATATATAATGTTCTTTTTCAGGTTCTTTTCCATTATAGGTTATTATAAGATATTGAGTATAGTCCCCTGAGATATACAGTAGGTCCTTGCTGTTGATTTTATATATATATATATATATATATATATATATATATATGTGTGTGTGTGTGTGTGTGTGTGTGTATCTGTTAATCCCAACCTCCTAATTTATCTCTCCCCTATCTTTCCCCTTTGGTAACCATAAATTTGTTCTCTATGTCTGAGTCTAACCTACGGTTTAAAAGCAAGAATATGACGTACCATGGAGCTGGGAGACAGAAACTGTGCTCCCCGGGAGCTGGAACAATTCCCAACCTACTCTCTAAACCAATGCATACCACTGGTTTGGCCTATGTCAGAGCCAACTGTATAATCTGGACTTCTCCAAATTTACTTCCACACAGAATGAAATTTTTATTAAAGGAAAGGGAATAAAAACAAGTGCAATGGGAACCTTAGATATATATTCATAAAACTCAACAGTAACCCCAGCAATTTGTGAGTACTTAGGCCAACAAAATGTATGATTTGGCTGGGGGTGGAGGGAGTGGTGTCGGGGGGGCTGGCATTGTTTAAAATTGCTGGAGCTTGGTGACAATGAGAAGCACACCAACTCACAGTTTTATTACTGCTTTTCAATTCTCAGTAGGCAAAACATCCTTTTATTGCCTCCCCCGAGGAAGACTACAGAAATATCTTCTTCCCTCTTGCCCCAGGGCATTGCGGCCTCTCCCCACTTCCTTCCGAGCATAGTGAGGAGCAGGTAGAGGACAGGAAGGATCAAGGCTCTCCTGGAGAGCACAGCCAGAGTAGTCCGGCCTGCAGAGTCAGAGATGAGTTTGTGCAGCCTTCCAAATGAGCCTGACCGCCTTCGTGTCCAGACTGCAGCCAACCACCAGCATGCAGCCGCCGGCCACCTGCGGCAAGGCCTTGGACAAACTTCAAAGAAGGCCAACTCTATCAACCTCCTACTTCCTTATGAATTTGTCTCCCCAGGTCCTATTGTATCAGTTTGCTAGGAGTGCCATAATATAATACCCAAGAGAGGTGGCTCAAACAACAGAAATTCATTCTCTCACACTTCCAGTGTCTAGAAGTCCGAGATCCAGATGTTAACAGGGCTGTTTCTTCTGAGGCTTCTCTCCCTGATACACAGATGATGGTTTCTCCCTCTGTCTTCACATGGTCCTCCCTTTCTGTGTATGTATGTGTGTGCGTGTGCATCCTAATTTCCGCTTCTTATAGGGACACCAGTTAGGGCCCATCCATTTGATCTCATTTAACCTGAATTACCTCTTTAAACGCTCTATCTCCAAATACAGTCACATGGTGAGATCCTGGTTAGGACTTCAATATATGAATCTGGGCGGATACTATTTAGACTCTAGCACCCACACTCTGAACCCAAGGAACCCAATCCAGTACCCTCTCCTCTCCTCCGGTTCTAACACTCACCATCCACTTTCCATACCTGGAACATCTCGCTTACTCATCTTTCATTTCCCAAACTCATGTTCTTTGTCTCTTATATGTCCCTTTGTCTTGCTGATAAGATTATTGGAATAACCAGCCTTACTCACCCATAATAAACAGCACTTAAAAGAAGCTGGATAACTACAATGATTCACTAGTAGAACATGCAGATAATGGGGATGGGGGTGAGAAGTGTAGGTCTTTCAGGCGCCTTTTGTCCCTCCTACTTAATCCCACCAGCATCCCCTTGCTGCCCATCCCATTCCCCAACAAGCACACAGAGTTTGCAAGATTAAAATACAGAGATTTCTTTCAACAGCACATTTCCTCTGCCTCCACTCAAAGCCTACAACACCCTTCTCCCAGGCAGTAGACATGGAGTTCAGTAAAACTATGGCATGTCATCTCTTGGAGAGACACATTAAGCTCATTATAGGATTACACTGCAAAACAAAAGTTTCCATATTTGTGAGTTCTCTTAGATAGTAATCTTCCAAAGCTATAGTTTGACCCAAAGCACATTGGAATTAGTATAATAACATCTCTATCCAGCTAGCCTCTGGTGTGGCACCTAATGTCTAAGGTCATCATGCCTTTTTTTTTATTATGTAATCAGCCAACTGTAGGGACAGAAAAGTTAGGACTGCAACTAAAAAGAACACATTCCTGAATGGGCATTGCCACATATGCCACATTATATTTTATCTGTCAGCTTTGCTGTTATCCAGAAAAACTATTCTGAAAAGTGTATTAAAATCATGAAAAACAATGGAGCAAAAAAAAAAAATGCCAAGTACTTTTGGTGCCATAAACCACAGCTTTCCATAATCACATATGCAGTTTTCTTCTGAAGCTTCTTGAGGAAAAGCACTGAGTCTTTTGGTATCACCAGAAACCTTGGCAAAACAAGGTGCTAGGTAGCTACGCAGGTCTGAGCTAAATTGAATGGAATGAGCATTTGCTGGCCAATAAACAAATAAATAGCTTATCGATCTTCACCAGTTAAGTCAGTGTTAGAAGATCAGAACACAGATTTTCAAGTGACTATTTCAAACACTAAAATGCTCCAAATTTCTGAGTTTAAATAACACTTTCCACATTTCAGATGTAAGAAATTTAAATACAGCAGAATTGTTATTTTATCTATTATTATATCTCTTATCATTATTCCTAAATTCTTCTCCACACTTTTGATCTGCTCGGCATTTAATTATCCAAATTGCACCAAAAGTCATCTGTGCCTAAGAAAAAACATAAAACACACAATTTAGAGAAGAAAAATATGATATTCTGTATTGTCTTACTTTCAGAAAATAATTATGTATGCTTATAGAGCTTACTATGAAATAGGGAATAATTTAACTGTATGACTCTCATATTCAGTTGTTAATTACTTTTCTGTTGGCCTCAAGATATTTCTATTGCATCAATGGAAAACCATAGTAGTCCTCCAGTGACCAAAATTATACATCAACTGCTACAAATATTAATTAAGAGCTCTTTGTCTTCATGGAAAGCCATCTACTTCCTACTTCAAAGGCATTGAGTTTCAGCACTATAAAAAATTTACTTCAGTTAAAATTTCTAATCAATGGGATTATAGGTTCTTTTACTGTTGTTGTTGTTTCACTTCTGGCAAGACAAATCTTTTAAATGAAGTAATTGATCTACAACATTTTGTCTGTAAAAGAGCCTATTTCAAAAGAAAATGAATGGTCCATGTCTGACTTCTAAAAAAAAATACATATTATAGAAGGAAGGGCTTCCCTTGTGGCTCAGCTGGTAAAGAATCCACCTGCAATGCGGGAGACCTGGGTTCGATCCCTGGGTTCGGAAGATCCCCTGGAGAAGGGAAAGGCTACCCACTCCAGTATTCTGGCCTGGAGAATTCCATGGACTGTATAGTCCATGGGGTCACAAAGAGTTGGACACAACTGAGTGACTTGCACTTTCACAGAAGGAAAGCTGTTTAGTTATAGAGGCTTTTAATAACTGAGCAAGCAGAAGCTGGGAGAATCAATCAACTGTGTTTGTTGTGTGTCCAGCCCCACTGTGACGGAGAATACAGTGGAGGTCATGAAGAGTTTTCATAATCTTGTGCTCACCCTGCTTAGAGAACATATTCCAGTGTCTGCACACACATGCATACACATACAAACACATGTGGTAAAGTATTAAGATATTTGGAATGGAAGACACTAATTCTTACAGGCTTTGTCCTCTCTTATTTCCTTCTTTGTCCTTTGAGAACAGGAAAACCAAAGTGAGGGGTCAGTGGATGGCAATTATTAAAAGAAGACATGAAGGATAGAGGGAATCTTGCTAAACCAACTTAACAAGATTTCTTGCTGAAAGCAAATCAAGGATTTATCCATCAAAAGGGAGGTTGAGGAACTTGATCAGATCCTAGGGTTATCAGCTATCAAGAGTTGGAGGACTTGACATAGCAAGATACTTGCTAAAATTGGGCTATGCAGCTCTGGCAAGGACAGGGCTAAGGCCAAGGCTTAGTTAAGAAGAGGAGCAGAGGATCAGAGTTTGGTCAAGGAGAGAACCTTTGTCGGTGCACACAAAAACTTGTACACTAGTGTTCATATGAGCATTATTTATTCTGGCCAAACAGCAGAAACAACCCAAGTGTCTATCAACTGATGAACGGACAAACAAAATGTGGTTTATTCATACAGTGGATGTTATTCCACAATTTTAAAAAAGTGAAGTATTAATATGTGCAACAACATTGGTGAACCTTGAAACATGATGCTAAGAAGCCAGTTACAAAAGACCACATATTGTATGTTCCCATTTATATGAGATGGGCAGGAAAAGCAACTCCATAGAAACAAAAACAAAATGAGTGGTTGTCAGACGCGGGAGGAAGGGAGAGTCTGAAGTCACTGGTAAGGGGTTCAGGGTTTCCTTTGAGGGTACTGAAAATGCTCTAAGATTACACAGTGGTAACAGTTGCCTAACACTATAAATATACTAAAAACACTGAATTGCATGCTTAAAAAAAGTGAATTTTACGGTATGCGAATTATACCTCAATAAGACATTAGACAAAAAAAAAGTTCTCAGGTATTTCCACAAGTGAGGTCCCAGACGTGTATTAATTTGCTCAGTCCTCTCTTTCCCTCTCTTCTTCCTCCACAGCAATAGAAAAATAATTACCCTCACTTTGCCATGGAAAACAGATCCACTATCTACAATTCCTGCCTCAGCCCTGAGCTCTCCTCATCAATGCATTCTGATTACAAAGTTTCTGCTGGAAACTTCTTTATATCCCAACAGTCACTAATATGTCCCCCTTTTAAAAATAGGAAATAACAATTGCTAGATTTCACTTCTAAGTCTTGTGGGTTTTTTAACTCAATAACAACATTTTCATATTCAAATGAAGTGTGTCTGTTGTAGTTTCAAGGCATGCATGTCCAATAAGATTATCTTTGATTTTTTTTAAGTTCAAAACATGAAAGATTATCATGTAATAGTTACAGGGGTGCTTAATATACAGGATAATAATATAATCAAAGGAAGATAATAATAGTTCATTCAAAATGAGCAACTATAGTCTGAAATCACTATGATTAAATCTCATTTAACTCATCAGTATTTATGCCCATTCAGGCTATTTTGAGGACATATTAATAAAATATTAAATGTATAAATAATGACTATATTGAGAGAGGAACACTGTTATATACAAATCAAATGGAGCATGGCATGTGAATATGCCATAAAATCATTTAGCTGACTACATACAAGCAGTCACAAAATGCTTCTTTTAATAAAATAGCAATGATTCCAAGTATCTAATTATACTGTTAACATGTTAAAATTACAACCATCCATTATGCTTAACTTTAGAGAGCCCCTAACCTGAATTCTGATTCTTGTTCCATATAGTTTGACCACTTCAGGTGGCATAATTTTGCCTAATTCTTATTAATCAAAATTCTTGGCTGATTTGAAGAACAGGAAATCAAAGGGATACTGAGATCAGTTAACTCAGAGAAATGGGAGTAGCTGTTAAGAGTATATAATCTTATAGAAAGGCCAAATATAGAAGCTGCACATCAATTATTTTCATGGTTTATTAAAGAAAGGATAACTGTAAACAGATTCAAACAATCTGAGAATTTCACCTAGAATCATATACTTCTGCAAAAACCTGCTATATTAACCTAAACAGACAGAGGTCTCCACAACTACAGTCCAGGAGTAGATAAACCAAGGCTGATAAAGAAGCTCAGTGGTGTCATCAGGAACCACTCACCCATCTTTCCACCCTAGCATGTGAGCCTAGCTCACATCCTAGCATGTGAGCCTTTGGTCTCAAGTTTGTTGCCTCATGGTTGCAAAATGGCCTCCAGGCATCATATTCAAGTTCCAAACAAGAAGAAATGGAGTGAAGGATGAAAGAATTGTAAACTTTCTCTGAAATCTCTAATAGGTTTCTGCTTGCATCTTATTAGTCAAAATTATGCCAATAGGTACCCCTTAATGTAAAGTAATATGGGAGGGTAAATTTTTTTTAAAGTCCTCATGGAAGAAAGATAGATGGATATTAGGTAGGCAACTAGCATTGGTTTTATAAATTCGTTCTCAGTGGTTTGCAATTTTTCCACAAGAACTTTTACACTTTACTTCTTAGGTTTTCATATTGATTATAACTTACTACTTTAAATATTAAGCTAGAAGATCACCTTACAGTTATTTGAGCCAGAACTGAAGTATGATTTTACCCATGTTTAAATCTGTATATATGGTGGAACTATGCCAAATATCATTACTTTAATTGTCATGACCTAAAGAGAAAAGTAAAAAAAAAACAGGAGGTGAACAATACATAAGTGATGTGGTTGGACAAATTAAGATTAAAAGACATTAGGGCATGCTACAATGTTAGAAAAGTAGATAAAGCAGTCTGCAACATCATTAGACAAAAGTTGGCCTTTGGTGAATCTCTTGAAAACGTATATTTCCAAGCAAAGACACAAGGGTATTTGGAACAATTTTATTATTGCTTCCAGTGCTTGGAATCTAGGAAGGGCAGAAGAACCACGCATTAAAAATGGAACTAGCCCCCTAACTTAGGCATTTGATTAACAAATGGGTATGTTACTGTTCCAAAAGCACAACAACACAGAAGCTAGAAAAAAGGAAAGAAAAGAAAAGCAGGCATACGCACATTATTGTGTCTAGCAAGAACAACTTTCTTCTGTAGCTTCTTAATATAATCTCATAATACTTCTTAGAAAAAAGAATTATCAACCATAAGTAAAAAGAAAAAGAAAAAATCACTGGCTTTAAAGTCACTTCAAAACTGGCTGAGTGATCTGAAAGAGACACGTGCACCCCAATGTTCATCGCAGCACTGTTTATAATAGCCAGGACATGGAAGCAACCTAGATGCCCATCAGCAGATGAATGGATGAGGAAGCTGTGGTACATATACACCATGGAATATTACTCAGCCATTAAAAAGAATTCATTTGAATCAGTTCTAATGAGATGGATGAAACTGGAGCCCATTATACAGAGCGAAGTAAGCCTGAAAGATAAAGACCATTACAGTATACTAACACATATATATGGAATTTAGAAAGATGGTAATGATAACCCTATGTGCAAAACAGAAAAAGCGACTCCTATGTATAGAACAGACTTGTGGACTCTGGGAGAAGGCGAGGGTGGGATGTTTCAAGAGCACAGCATTGAAACACGTATATTATCTAGGGTGAAACAGTTCACCAGCCCAGGTTGGGTGCATGAGACAAGTGCTCGGGCCTGGTGCACTGGGAAGACCCAGAGGGATTGGGTGGAGAGGGAGGTGGGAGGGGGGACCGGGATGGGGAATACATGTAAAAAAAAAAAAAAGATACACTATGGTTGTGATAAAAAATAAATAAATAAATAAATTAAATTAAAAAAAAAAAAAAAAAACTGGCTGAGAAATCTGATGAGTTTCCATCTTGCTGGCCAAGGATGGCATTGTGTTGTTACTAAGATCTTGCCCAATCTCAAAGCATTTTCCCTTCCATGGTAAACAGAACTGCTCCAGGCATCAGTGTCAAGCGTTTTATTACTCTGACCAAGGTAGCCTGTGGAATCAAACTAACCGTGTCAACCTGCCTGGATTGCTAAACAATCATATAACAATGGATACTGACAGAGTTTCCAAAAGTATAATACAAAGCATATTGGCTTCAATTTTTAAATCTAGGAAAAGAAGGGTTTCCTTTTATTTCCTCCCTTTGGAGAAGGCCATTCTTTGAAAGCTCTTCAGCCTCCTGGAGCAGTTTCAGTGGTTTTGAACATTCTTCTCTTCTTTTTAAAGCCTCGAAAATGGGAAAATGTCATTGTATAAAGAACTAGCCACCATCAGTGGGACCATGACAAGCACGAGGTTTCAAAATGAACATGAAATGGCAGATTTTTCGATTTAAGGGTCATCTACTTAATGAGCCCTAAACCATGTTCAAAATCCCCCCAAGCCAGTCAGACTTTCCTTTCCACTTAAGCTATGTGTGCTGTCGCTCAGTCACGTCTGACTCCTTGCAACCCTTTGGACTAGAGCTCACCAGGCTCCTCTGTCCATGGGATTTTTCAGGCAGGAATTCTGGAACGGGTTGCTATTTCCTCCTCCAGGAGATTTTTCTGACCCAGGGATGGAATGTGTGTCTCTTGAGTTTCCTGCATTGCAGGCAGATTCTTTACCACTGAGCCGTCAGGGAAGCCCATTTGAGTTATATCTTTATCTTTCTCTTGGATAAAAGTGCATGAGTTGTGTCCTGCCACAGGCTTTTTCTGCTTCATTGACTAGAGTTTTTGACTGTATGGATCACAACAAACTGTGGAAAATTCTTAAAGATAGGAATATTAGGCCACCTTACCTGATTCCTGAGAAACCTGTTTGGAGGTCAAGAAGCAACAGTTAGAACTGGACATGGGACAACAGACTGGTTCAAAACTGGGAAAGGAGTACGTCAAGGCTGTATAGTGTCACCCTGCTTATTTAACTTATATGCAGAGTACATCATGTGAAATGCCAGGCTGGATGAAGCACAAGCTGGAATCAAGATTCCCAGGAGAAATATCAACAACCTCAGATATGCAGCTGACACCACCCTCAGGGCAGAAAGTGAAGAGGAACTAAAGAGCCTCTTGATGAAAGTGAAAGAGGAGAGTGGAAAAGCTGGCTTAAAACTCAACATTCAAAAAACTAAGATCATGGCATCCAGTCCCATCACTTCATGGCAAACAGATGGGGAAACAATGGAAACAGTTACAGTCTTTATTTTCTTGGGCTCCCAGGTCACTGCAGACAGTGACTGCAGCCATGAAATTCAAAGATGTTTGCTCCTTGGAAGAAAAGCTATGACAAACCTAGACAGCGTACTAAAAAGCAGAGATGTTACTTTGCTGGCAAAGGTCTGTTTAGTCCAAGCTATGGTTTTTCCAGTGTGACATACAGATGTGAGAGTTGGACCATAAAGAAGGCTAGGCATCAAAGAATTGATGCTTTTGAACTGTGGTGTTGGAGAAGACTCTTGAGAGTCCCTTGGACTGCAAGGAAATCAAACCAGTCAATCCTGAAGGAAATCAGCCTTGTATTCATTGGCAGGACTGATGCTGAAGCAGAAGCTCCAATACTTTGACCACGTGTTGCGAAGAGCCGACTCATAGAAAAGATCCTGATGCTGGGAAAGATTGAAGGCAGGAGGAGAGGGGATGACAGAGGATGAGATGGTTGGATGGTATCCCTGACTCAATGGACATGAGTTTGAGCAAACTCCAGGAGATGGTGAAGGACAAGAAAGCCTGGTGTGCTGCAGTCCATGAGTTAAAAAGAGTCAGACATGACTGAGGAACTAACAACAACAGGTTTCTTTGGTATAACAGCCTTACCCTTTCTCACCCCACCCCTTATTCTTCTGTCATGTAAGCAAACTATTCAAAGCCATTTAGAAACTGTAAACACTCAGCCTTAATGAAAATTTCACATGGATAATATGAGAAAAGGATGTTAACCAACACAGCCACTACTTAGTTCCTGGTGGAGCTAAATTTCTAGCTGTGAGTTTCAATTCATCTGGGGTCCCAGGAGGCACAAGAAGGTCCAATTTATAACTGTGAACAGCTCTGTGTAAAATCCCATTTCCTTTCTTCCTTTTATATGTTTGTATTTTTTATACCAAAACTGGTTTAAGTCCTTTCTCTCATCTTCATCCATAATTTCCTACCTAAACTCTCCCAGAGATTAGGAAGACTCCTTTATTTTCTCCCCGCTCCTTCCCCCCTCTCCTCTTTTCTTCCCAACTGGGCCAATCAAGGGCAATGAGTGCTCTCCAACACAAATCTGCCATTTTGGAATCTTTTTTTTTTTTTTTTTCACTTTACCCAGCTGATTAGCTCAATCTATATAATAGAAGGCAGCGTAGACTACTAACCACATGTCTCCAAAGTTTACCTGGGGATTTGGGGAGGGGGCATATTTATTGAAACTTCATTAAATCTTGTTCACATATGGCTTTGTAATACCATCCAGGCTTCAAGTGATCCAAGGGTATCTTTTCCACATGAAAGCTACCTCTCTTCTTTATTCCCCAGCCTGCATAATTAAAGTCATAGTACTCACTGTCCACTTGGTCATCAATACCATCAGGCACTGAAAGAGCAGGATTTGGTAATAAGGTGCTCACTCAGAATGCAGCCTGTCTCTCTTTTTAGGTTATTATCTAAGTAAAAAATCAAAATTCAAAAACTTCAAGTGGATAACTCACAAATCCTCAAGACTGTGTGGCTAGTTTGAGAAATTTTGAGTTAGAGGGTCTCTGAAGTCCTTGCCAGCTCAGACACTCTTTACCTCTCAGTGAACTGAGGTTAAGTCAACCCAGAAAGGTGGTTTGATGCCTGAATGCCACTGTCGACTCTCTTAAACTTTAAATCACTTTTCTTCACGGACTCTGAGGCTGAATCCAAAGATTAAACAGCTTTCTCAGCAGAAATAACAGGAGATACGTCTCACAACTGGCCCTAAGTGAGCTCCATGGCATTTCACAATGACATGTCTCTAGGGCGATGAGAGGGAGGGATGCTTCCACATATGAGACTTTGTTCTTAGGGGGCCCTGGGAACCGGCTGACCAGTCAGGCTTTTCTGCAGGAGTCTCTGCAGGCACTAGGGGAGAATCTACCATGGGAACGAGGACAGGATGCCCATGCAAATAGCTCCCACCCACCAGTCCTAGAGCCTGAAATTCACACCATAAGAAATTGGTTATTCGATTTCCAGTTCTTCCTTGTAAACAAATACCCTGTGGAGGAATAAAACTTTCAGAAAATATTAGCCACTTCCCATCATCAAGCCACTGTTAGCACTCTGCTGCTTCACCACATCCCTCCCACAGTCCCCTGCACGCTCCTGTGCCCTGAATTTCATCCAGTGCACCCTCCAGGGTTCCGCTTAGATGCCCACCTCCTACAGGACCTTTCCCACTGAATTTGAGAGTGAACCTCCCTCTTGGCTTACCTCTTATACTTTTAATCACACATTGTTTATAGTTGTTAACTTTTCTCTCTCTCTCCAGCTGAATCTCAAATACGCTGTAAGGTCTTCAAACTCAGAGTTTAAATCATTCTCTTTTTTTTTTTTTGGAATGTCCTAGAGCTTAAAGTTAATCACAAATCATTCAGACATTAGATCATAAGTGAGAACAGAAGGAATGAGATACAAGAGATGACTGTTTTGATAAGAGAGCAAGAGGGGAAAAGCAGGGCGGGGTGGTCCTGGTAGGACTGCCACCAGGGTGGACAGAATTACAGAAGGCAACAGGGAACCCTCCTCACCATCCTGCCAACAGCTATCTGAGCTTCTGACTTCTTTTTCCCTGCAAATTTGGCTGAGAGGAAATGCCAAGGTTGTCCCAAGGTGACAATCTAAGGCTGTGCTGAAATGTTTGGCCTTTTTCTTTTTCCTGGTTGATTCATGATTTGTCATCAAGAACCACACAGGAAAATGTGTCTCCTACCTTACTATCTGCCTCATCTTCAAAGCAGATGAGCCATTTCTGGGACAGAAAGGCTACGAAGCTGCTTTTATAAAGAACATAACGTAATGCTAGGCCGGTGATCACACAGTTGCACAGACCTCTTTCGTCTGGTCAAGAAACAGACTCAGGAACACAAGATACCGTACATTCTGAAAAGGTCCAAGTCCTTCATCCATGCAAAAGGTCTTGCACTTTAGACTCCCTGATCTGTATTGTGAAGGGTCAGGGAAACTTTCTGCATTAATTATGCTTGAGGAACCCTGGGGAAAGACTGAGCCAACTGCCAAATAAACACGTGCTATTTCTTGGCCCCTACCCTCCTCTCCCCTCTCTGGAGCAGTGACCTGGGGGAGGCACTTAAGACTGTCATCAATTTCAGCACAGCCACATGAAGCAGGGAATGTGAATGAGAAGGCAAAGATCAAAGAGCAGGAGATGAAACCAGGGGAAGAGGCAGAGAAAAAGAGAGAGGGGGATAAAAGAGAAATGAGGGCAAAGGAGAGCCAGGGAAAGAAAGAGGAAGGAGACAGGCTGGGACAGAAAGAGACAGACCAGTAATGAGGTGGTTTGTCCTGTTTCATTTCCTCTTCTTGATTTAAGTGTCTTCCCCCAGAGCACTCGCCTTCCTGGCTGAAGTGGATGGGATGGCCCAGGGGGCTGAGCCAAGGGCACTGGGTTTCGATTCTCACTGGTCCCTCACTGGATCCTACACAGGCTCCTCTGAAGTCCAGACACTTGAAAGTATCCATTCTAGTCAGCTCAGCTACTCCAACTAAATCCATATCCATCAAATTATCACTTCTAGCAGTGATAGAAAAATTAATGATTTCTTGAAGGGACTATTGTATTTAAATATTTCAAGCCTGTTGGTGTGATGTGTGTCAGCAAGAAAGAAACATATTGACTCAGAGCTGCAGCTAATGCTGGCTTTTATAAATATCCTGTCAGATAAATAATGGCTCTCAATGGATCCAATATGATGTACAGTTCTCAAGCAAGCAGGGTTTTGCCAAGAGGCTCAAAGGAAACTGTCATTGCATTACCATGGCTTGAATAATGGGATTTTCGTTTATCTTTCCTACCAGAGAAGGCAACAGCGGAGAGATGGGCTCGGCAGGCACCAAGGTGAAGGTTGATTGACTCATCAGATTCCAAAAAAGGACCAGATATCACAGGCCTTGAGCTGAGAGCTTCCAGAATCCCAAAGAGCAAGCAACGCCTGCATGCGAGTCCATCTGAGAACTGGGCAGCCTGGCTGGGTCACTCGAGGGCTGACCGTGCTAGAACCAGCAGACTTCCCTCCCAGTTGAGGAGATCTGTGGACAAAGCAGAAAAAGCCCCAGGGCCCAGGGAGCTCCGATTAGGATAGAACACTGTCGTGACTGGGGCAGTGTAGACAGCTCAACTGTTAGGGAACTGGGTGACCAAAACTGCTCACCTTGGCCGGGCACCATGACAATGGCTCACAACAGGAGGTCCCAGTAAAGAACTCAGTGCTGCCCCCACTGAAACTAACCAGGGGAGTTTGGGAGGGCCAAAAAGAAGAGGGAAGACAGAACAGGTCCTGACAATCTCCCAGAAACCCTCATGCTAGAATACATCTTGGCTGAGCAGTGCATGCACCACCAGGAAGGCTGCTCTGGCAGAATGATGGGCCAGAGACAATCCAGAAACTCACCCCGTCACCATAAAACCTAAGACTGTGGGCCATGTGGCAGGGCGGTTCTCCTGGGTTCCCTCACCCTGATGCTCTCCACCCCAGGACCACGGTATGTCCTCTCAGACAATTCATTTCTGTCTTCCTGTAACACAACCACTTGTATTATGTCTCATCATCCCTCTTTTCTTTCCTCCCTTCAATCATTTACCTTTTTTTTTTTTCATTTCATTGTACATTTGAGAACAATTCTTGCTACAGACTAAGTCTGTCCTCCCCCAAATTTATATGTTGAAACTAAGCTCCAATGTGAGGGTATTAGAAGGTGGAGCTTTCAGGGAGGTAACTGGGTCATAAGGGTGGAGCTCACATGAGCAGAATTAGTGCCCTTATAAGACAGACACTACAGGCTCCCTCACCCCTTCCCCCATGTGAGGACCTAGTGACTTCTGCTCATTCTAGCAGGGGCAACCCTCGAGTGCCCCACCAAGGCTGCCTGGGTGTCTATGAACCAGGAAGTGGGCTCTCACTGAACACTGAATCTGCCCACATCTTGATCTTGAGTTTTCCAGCCTCCTATGAGAAATCAGTTTAAGTTGCTTACAAGTCACCTTGGTGGATGGTGTTCTGTTTTTACAACCTGAGTAGACTAAAGACAATTTAATCAGGAAACTCAAAAAATGTTATTTTGCTTCCTGTTAAGGAGTTCACACAAATGTTAGGTGGGGAGGAGGGGTGGATGCAGGGATTACAACTTCTAGATACAGAGGAAATGGAACTATTGTCCATGGACTTCAATTACCCATGGAGAGTTGAGTACTGACCCTATTACACTGGCATCCCCTACTTCATCTTCAAAAAATATTAGTAGATGAAAAGTTAGAGGACTTTAAAATCCTAAACAACCTCATTCAAAGTGAAACAGACACTTATGCTGGACTTTGCTGACCTACTCAGGGTTTTAATGTTGCCTTCTATTCAAAACAATTGAGAATCTCTGCTCTTTAACAGAGTTGAAAGATTAATTAAAATGTGGGGCAGAGAATGCCCTACCATATTTCATATGGGGACATGGCACAAAGTGACCATGCAAACCAACAATATTCAAAAGACCTCATCTTAACTAAAATTGTTTTTGTTCAAAAGTTAAAACAGAACACAACTTCTCAGAATAATAGTCCCACTAGCTACAAGGCCACCATTGTATAAAATTTCTTCACATAAATTAGATATTCCTATGTTCCTGCCAAGGATTCTTCTAGGCCTCTAGTGACTAGAAGGGAAGAGAAACAATATTCAGACATACTTTCTGGGTGTGTATTTGGCTTAACTGAGAGAAACATTTCTCTCCCATCCCCAGACATCATGACCCTGAGTTTACAGAATGACTGTGGCATCACAGGCTTGGGTGTTTCATATTTGTAAAGGAAATGGCCTTAAAATCATCGATCCTCAACCTCTTTGGTACCAGGGACCAATTTCATGGAAGACAAATTTTTCCATGGATGGGGTGGGGGTGATGGTGCAGGTGATAATGTGAGCAATGGTTCAGGCAATGCGAGTGATGGGGAGCGGCAGATGAAGCTTCACTCGTGTGCCAGCCACTTGCCTCCTGCTGTGCGGCCCAGTTCTGAACCAGCCAAGGATCGGTACTGGACCTCCCCCAGGGCGGGTGGGGACTCCTGCCTTAAATGACAGCAAACCAAATGGTCCCCTGCCTCCCAGGTGCTCAGCTCCTTGGATACATTTTTAAAAGTTAAGAGAGAGTGCTCCATGCTTCTACGGCATCTACTCACTTGTCTGAATTGAGCTCAACCTGAAAGCTAGAAGTTGCCTTGAAACTCTAGTTATTCACCGCTTTGGCCCTCTCTCTTGGTAAGGACAAACTGTCCTATCACATACAACATGTCCCATCACATTCCCCCTGGAACATCCTCCCATCTTCCACAAAACCATCCTTTCAAACTCTCACTGTTCATCTTGCAGACATGAGGTTATCACACCCCAGGAAAGGATGCTGACCCCTGGCAGCCCCACAGTTGGTGAGTATAACTCTGACTCCAGCTCCACCAACAGCTCCTCCTGACACTTAGCAACCTGGCCTCCCACACCAGCGGGGACTGTTGCCCACCTGTCCTCCTGTTTCCTCTTGGGGACCCTGAAGCATGGGCAGCACCATGCAAACGTGTGGTGTTTCCCATCCTCTGGTCCACTCAGACTGGTCACAATTCTTAGTGTCCAACTACCACTTCTTACTGGATTCTTGAGGCTCTATTGCCACAATACTCTGCTCTCTTTTCATTCTCTGGACTTGGATACTCCTCTAAATTGAGACACAATTTCTTTAAAAAAAAAAAAGTAAGGTCGCATGACTAGCAAGAGGGAAAATGTTTCCTCCAAAATTTATGAAAAGACAGCTCCAAAGGACAGCAGTTCTGTTCACTCATTCAACCACTCTCTACCACACTGTGAGCTGCACCAGAGATATAGCAGATGATAACAGGCACGGTCCCACTCTCGTGCAACATATCCTAATCGAGGGGAGGCCAGGGGACAAATAGAGAGTTGAAAAGGAAATAAAAATAAACTGGTAACTACACACTGTGATGGGCCCTCAAGGTAGACTTCCAACACAAGCCCCAGATCTGACACCACTTTGGGGAGAGGGCAACAGATTCTACGGTTGACGTGCAGTAACCCTTCCACTTCTCAAAAAGTGCCTGTGTGGGTTCTTTTGTGATGGGCGGAGGAAAGTCCTGTTTGTGATTCCATCATCCAGTAGGCTGGGAGCTGCCCTGGCTTATGAAGTGACCTCTCTCCTTGTATGCAAAATGCCCCCAAATAGGGTGCAGCATATTGTTTTAATTATATTTGTGTTCATCCACAAGCATATGAGTCAAGATACTCATAACGATTTAAAAATGCATTCTTTCTCCTACTTTCACGATTCAGTCCTCATTCCTAAAGATCTTCCCAGCTTTTCTATCAGACTTTAGGGATATCAAAATCAAAATCTGAAGAGTTGTTTCTATTTTACTTAGTTTTCTATGTCTTTATAACTCTCAAAGCATTTTATCTCTTCCTTCAAAATGTTTCCAGGCCTTGCTATCATCCACAAACGGGCTAATTCTGACCCTCTTATTTCTCTTTGAAGTGATTTTCTATATTCTTTATCACAGTTCCTCTGGTTATGGCATTATCTCCTCACTTGAAATAAGAAATAATCACTGACACTCTTCCTCTATCCACAGCCCCTAAACCACAAAGAAACCCCCACTACCCTAACCTCTAATTTGGAAACTACTTTTCTCTGTTATCCTCAGAATAGATTATATCTGCTTCTTTGTTCTTCTCCAAGATCCTGCTGTCAACTGGCAACAGAACCGGCAACAGCACCACTTTTCCAGATCCTCAGCTCCATATCCTGCTTGCTCTTCTCCAGCTGACCATAGGCATCCCACCCAAAGGGAGCAACAGCTATTCTGGAAAGTTTTTCCACACCAGCAGCCTTTGAGACTCCAAAAGGAAAGCCCAGGAAAAGGTGATGATCCTCACTCAAAAGTTTTCAACAGGAAATAGAGTATCTCCAAAAGCAGACGGCTTCACTGATGCTGAATCGAGGATGGTAGGAAGAGACAGCCCATGTCTCTAGCCATCCTCTTCTGTGAGGTCATATCTCCTTTCACGGCAGCTGTGGTTGGCACTTCAGAACTGTGCATCTTTGTGAACTCAAAAAAAAGAAGTTTTGTTCTCAAATAAAACATGAGAACTTTTAAGTATTCCAAACCAGAGATTTAAAAATACAATTCTGGGGGCTTCCCAACAAGGGCCCCCAGCCATTTTCCCAGCATATCTTCCCTAAGCTCCCCTATGCAGACATCAAACTCCTATCAAAATACCTGAAGCATCATTTCCTAATAAACCAGCATTTTGCAACCTCTGAGCATCTTCTCATCAGATTCTTATCTTGGAATGTGCCTCATTCTCAGCCTCCATCTGAAGTGTCTTCAACTGCTGCCTCCACCATGAATCATTCCCCACCCCTCATCCAAAATCAGTCTCCCCGACCTTGGGCTCTCCCAACACACTGCTTATAGGTCTATAATAGAAATGCCATGTGCTGTCCTGTCTGATTGTTGTTGACTGTAAACTCAGTGAAGGTAAGTCCTGGGTCTTAATGATTCTGGTAGTCCCTCCAACATCTGGCACATACAGTAGCCAATTTCCAAACATTTGTTACATGTAAGTGATCATAAATTGTGACTGCTTCTCTTTAGTGATAGTTTGTGGAGGAAACAAATCTTCTCCTATAAATATGGGATTGTCTCTTCTCTCTTACATGCTGCTGTAACACTAAGCAAAGTGTGTGGTGCACAGTAATGATTCCATACATTTTTATCATTGGAGGAGGAAGAACAGGATGATGACAGAATAAAGAGAAGGAAAAAGAAAGAACGAACCACTGCAGTGACTTAAAGATAGCCATAAATTCTTTGACGCTCCTCCCATGAAGAGGTGTGGTCTATGGCGCCGAATGTGGGTGGGCTCTGTAGCTGTTTTGACCAATGAAATGAAGGGGAAATGACACCATCTCAGTTTCTAGGGGAAACTCTTACAAGACTGGCAGCTTTCACTGCCTGTCTGGATCTCTACTTTTTGGAAGGCAGTTACCATGCTGTGGCATCTCCAGGAGCCCAAGGAGAGACTTCCGTGAAAACTAATCAAGGCTCCAATCCAACAGCCCCAACTGAGTCCCCAGCTAACAGCACACCAACCTCCCAGCCATCTGAGTAAACC